GAAAAGCGCACGAACCTATGCCACCCCCATAACTGAGAGGGAACCATCTTCTAAAATTACTTGTTATGGATAAATACCATTAGGGAATTGTACTAGAGCCCATTAAGGACTTTGAAGGATGAGTGATTTCCACATTGTCGCATAATTGCATATTTGAGCAGCGATGTGTATTGCTGTCTGGCTGGCTGTCTGCCGAGGTCTGGTTATAAACCGTACGGCGCGTATATTGTACGGGATACTGTAGCTCCTTGTGATGATTGCCCTGGAATGAAAAGCAACATTGTGTGTTGTATTGGCTGAAGAATAGTCATAGCGATGAAGAGGCTGTCAGACACTGCATTTGAAGAACTGGTTCTAGAGGGTTTGGAATAGGTTTGGGCTTCATTTTAACGACTACTGAGTAAATGGAGTGGATCTTTTCGTCGTCAGTGAACATTCACATTGAATATGTCGAAAGACGTCTTTCTATGTTGCGCGTAATAAAATGATGGGTTCAATGCGCAATAATCATCACTACAAAGCGTTGAGTGGAATCAAAGCGCGTTATGGCCGAAATGTCCCGGCTTAGGCGTCTTTCTCTGCTGCTTCCCGTTTCAACAAATCGAACACCTCCCACACGAAACGACGAGGGAGCAGAAGCTTCACATAAAGCTTGCCCCATAGAATTTTCTCCCCAAAGAGGTCGCAAGGGTTTATCTTATCAACTCTGCAGAAGTTAATTGAACTGTGGGCATTTTGTTATCACTGTGTGAAAAGAAAGAGCTCTGTCATTCAGAAAGCTGGGAAAATTTAGGAAGATAGTAGGCATCATGGAGGATGGGGAAGGGTGGGGGGAAGGTCGCACCAGAGGGTGGATTTTTGAGGGAAGCGTTGTATTTTGCGAAATTCTTCCTAATGGCAGGATGTGCCCTGACATCGATATCAGTACAGTTACTTTTTTTGAGGCTATACTTGTGGGTTTCTCCATTGTTCTGGAAAATAAGCCAAAGATTATCGAAAGAAGCCAAACAATGACCTGATTGTGCCGAAGAAGGTCTGTAGTGAGAAAAAGGATAGGAAAGCACTCATCCACCTATTTGTCTACGTTGGAGCTGCAGAACCTTGACCTTCACCACAGAACGAGCCCTGTTAGATACGAAAGACCTGGACAGAGCAATCCATCGGGGCCACCGAGACGCTATTCGGCTTGGGAGGGACATTCTGCGCTTTCTCTTGCCCGTTTCCTAGCTCGTATTGAATAACAGATCCCATTTTGGTAAGACATGTAGACTCTTGTGATGCCACGAAATGGTGCAAATGAGCCACACTGGGTTCAAGAATTCACAGGTCTTCGCAAGGTGACCTCTACACATTCTGCTGAGTACCGTTTGGTGCCCCCACCAAGCCGAACTGCGCCCCCACGCCCACGATGCACTCTGGACTTCCTGGAGAACTACGGAAGCACTCAACTGCGAACTACGGATGTATCCATACTTGTTGGATTTTTGCTTTCAGTCGTTTTTTCATGACGGTGTGAGAGTGCTGGCCAAGTTCCTTTCGAAACTACTTCAGAAGGGCGAGAACTTGTAAACTTCCTAAGAATTCTGGAAATCACGCTGAACTGAACCCTTATTACGCTCGAGGAGATGTAGTGGCGAGTGGCGCTGCTTACATGCTCGTGTTCAGGGGATCAATCACTGACCGGCTCTGAGCACCATTGCAACCAAGTTCTCTACCTGCCAGGGACGGTAAATCGGTATCAAACTCGCCTGGAAGGATACATCTACCACGGATGGCTTCCGCAACTTGCTATATAGTCTATGCTGCACTCAATAATCCACTAGAAATTCGTATGGAAGTAGAATGCGCGGCGCATTCCGAAAAGCGAGTAACCACCGGCGAAAGCTATACCGTTTGTCCTTCGACTCTGATACATTTGATTCTTTGCTAGATCACTGGCTTCATAAATTGATGTACATTCGCCAAATCAGGTTTCTGAATAGAATCTTGATTTCACAGCAATAAAAGGGTAATTGTTTTGAATAGGCGAGCATTCGTGAGGCCAAAGAAACCAGCCTCATTTCGTAAAGCAAATACAATTCGAACAAATATTGCCTTCCATATAGTTGTCAGCCTTCATCACCAGCGGTAGACATATATTGCCATGATGAAAAAACTGATAGGATCTACAACCGACTAGGAGCGACTAAACCAGTTACGGTGTTGATGTTGCGAGATGGGGAATTGAATCGTTCAAGTCTGATGAGGCGCCCTCATTCGGCTGTCTGATTCCACTTTTTTTTCTGATTCGGCTATTGTGACGGTGCAACGAGTGTTATGAATTCTCATTTTGACGAACCGCGCTTCTTATCAAATGCTTGCCCGAACTATTCCCCTCTGCCCCTCTGGAACCGTCTTAGCGCGTCATAGGGAATGTGCTGAATTGAAGCACTGAGTCAGAATTTTCTCGTGACACTTGGCTTCGCATATGGGTTGCGAAATCCGCATACCCGATTATTCAAAAAGGCAACAGCTTGCTGATCCTGAAAGGATAAGCCGTAATTACGAGACGATTCGGGAGAGAAAATCGCTGTCCTGAGCCACTCCGTGAGACTAATATTAATTCTTGGTTAAGTCCAATACGACAACATCAGCGCTCCGGTAAATCTGGAGGAAATTCTAAGAAATTGTTCACTATTTACTGTTTGAACATTGAGTAAGTGAAACTCAATTTGCTCAACACAATAGTCGATCAAGATTAAGTACGTCTGCTGCGCAGTCTGGCTTTGAGGGGGCACTTTGCACTTTCGCTAGATTCCTTTTCTCACTTTGGTCAGACCTGTAAACACCTGCGAAACTGCAAAATTGTTCTCGTGAGCCAGCTTGGTCACAAGGCTTAACAGGTCTTCACAAAATGGCCTGTACAAGCTCACCTTAGCTGAGTACCATAGATGCCCCCACCAAGCCGTACTGCGCCTACTTGTGCTTACCTGATCTAAACGAACCTTTCTTTAGGAGCAGCCGCAAAAACTCAAAAAAGAAATCAGTTTGGGATTACAGAGAACTCAGAACAATCGAATCGGGGGTAAAGTGCTCCAGTGGTGCTGCGCGCTGGAGTCATTTCTTGTCTTCAAATAATATTCAAAGCCTTCAAATGGATACTTTCATTCTACCTTCATGTTTCTTGAAAGGGGACAGACATGAAAACATGACGTTCCGTGATGGCGCTACCGCACGTCACCTCCCCCCTAAACCGTCTTTGCCCGGTAGATTCCGGTACTCATTCTGAAACTTGAGGCAATGAAAATGAATATTTAGAGTCATTTATTTATCTTTAGCGAGAGCTGCAGCAGCGTTGAATCCGTTCGGCATGTTGCAGTTGCCATCACAGACGCCTCTCCGGATGCCCGTTGAGATCTCGTCAAATCCGCTTGCCCTTCACAAGAAGCAAAGCCGACCCACGTTCACCGGCCATCAGGTGAGCTATTCTGTCTCAATTAGTCTACAAGTTTGAAAACTGGTTACAAAAGCTGATACCCGACGATTTCCTACGGAATCCTTCTTGTGAGAACTGGTGCCTGAAAATGGGGAGGCGTAGTACTCATTGTCGTCACACATCACTCCTCCACAACCACTGAAATCGAGCCCTCTCGTTTAATTCGAGGCCGATTATTCCGTAGCAATTATACGAGGAAAGGCGTACCTCATCGTTACAAGAAACCCATAAAACCCAGGGGTTGTATTTGGGTCGCTGAGGGAGCGGTACGGGTTTCACCTTGGGGGAAATTGTGGATTTCCGACTGTGGAGTTTTCCCGTTTCAAACTATGACACTAAGATAGCGCCAGTATGCGCCGCAATTACGGGCGTAGACCTCCCACCTCGATCTACAGTAAGATTTTGGAAAGTAGGATATGAGTGTACAGTCATGGTCTCTGCAAACGATAGTGCGTTTGACGGGAGCTTGGACTGAAGCGCTGCCAGGGCGGCCTTCTCCACCAATGATACCTTCATCAATCCGCAACAAGTGGCGAGAAAGGCCGCCCTGGTTGCACTCCAATCCACGCCCTTTAACACGCCCTATTGTTTGCCGGGGATCGTGGCTGTGTGGAGAGTAGATGGGGAGGGAATAGCCCGGAGGAGGAACTTTGGGGAGAAGCCATGGTGACATCGCTGTTTCACACATCGCGATGCTGTGCCCTGATTCAGAAGGACAGAAACCTTTATCTGGTATGCCAGCTCTTCGCCTCATGGGGCAATAAAATGCAGAGGAAAATCTTTCACTACGCTAGATGACGCCATGATCCCTGCAACCGATAGGGCGTGTGATGCGGCGCGTATTGGAGCGCAGCCACGGCGGCATCATTTATGATTGACATTCTGAGCCCGTTACAATTGGTGGGGAATTCGCCCTGGAAGCCACTCCGCCGTTCTAGGCCCTATCGTCTGCTACGACCAAGTCTGCAGAAACACGGCCGACGCTGACGACGCTGTAGGTCGTACATTGCGAGTAAGTGGCTCTTGCATTGTGATCATTTCCTGGAAAATACCACCCCTAATTCTGTCCTCAAATACGACCCCCCTCCTCATGATACCTATCACTTTCCTAGATTTTCCCAACTTCCTACCACTTTTTCCATTTTTTTCCCGAAAAATTTCCAGTCTTTCATCCAAGAATTTTCCGTCTAGTGGAGGGGAGGGAAGTCGTCAGGATCTGACTATCATTTTCAACTATCGGAAATAGTAGTTGTATAGATATTTGGCAGTCCCTCTCAACAACGGCGAAATACGACCCCCCCCCCCTATTTATACCGTCCGTGAAACAAGAGAAACAGACTACAAAAAAAATTTTTCTCAGACCAAATACGACCCCCTTGTTGTGATCATTGCATGGCGTGTCCTGCACTGTGCGTGAAGTCTTTACCTTAGTACATTTAATCGGACGCACTGCAAGACACGATGATTTTGAAGAGAGGGATTTTACTGAGGCAGAACTTTTCACATCGCCATGGCGTACCGTGCTCCTAAGCCGGTTCTCTCAGCATCAATCTTATGCTACTGATACTGCTAGGCAATAAGAGCTCAAGAGATTGTTTTCAAGAAAAGCTTCATCCATAATGACAGCCTTTCATAACTCTTGATTACTCATTATACATCACAAAAACATGCCAATCAAGACATCATTTCCAATACACAATTTTGATGTATTTTAATGATAAGCCTTTCGTTCTAATCAGACACGTATGTAGAAATGGCTGCATGTTGACATGAAACGACATAAGACGTATATTAAATCAGATTTTTTCAGATTTTTATGTTGGAAAAGAAGTTCGAACAGACCAAATATCTAGCCGGATCTGATCGTGCACAATTAGCCCAGGAGTTGAGCATGAGCGAGAGTCAAGTGAAGGTAAGTACTAGTAAAGAATTTCAGCCTTTAATTGTCACAAAAAGGGTGAGTAATGAGGGATGAGAGAAAACGCTTGCTTCCAACAGGGTCTATGAACCTGAGCCTCACGTTTGTTGGACTGCGGCGCTAACCAATACATCTAAAAGGTCATTTTCTATACCCTCCTTTGGACAACAGCTCCTGGATCGCACATGAGAGCTGTTTGAGAACCACTCTTCGTTGACCTGGTCTGTTTACGTTCAGGAAGTAGCTCTCAAGAAGTACTGTGTAGAAGCTGATCGCCTTGAAACGCTATTTGGATGGAAGGGGGCATTTTGCACTTTTGTTGTTCATCTATGCTACTTCTGCTTGTCACGCTATCAGGTCTCTTCATATTGTAACTGTTGTGAGCGCTGCGAATTGGAAGTGAACACTTCGGCAAAAAAGTGTACGGTTTGCAAAAGGTGACCTGTTGAAACTCGCTGGAGTAGTATTCTGGCGCTCCATTGACTGAACTGGCATCTCTTCTTAAGTGAAGAAAGTTCCGGGTTCTTCAAACTTTCTCTGATACGTTAGTACGGTTCTGTCGGATACTAGTATTGAGGGCGCTTTTCGATGTCGAACACCTCAAGTTCGACCCACCCTCCCTTCGATTTTAGGCAGGCAGCGGTGCACCTACCGCGCTTAAAACAGTAAAAATCGGCGCATTTTGCATTTGTTCATTTTGGTGGAGGCACCAAATGGTACTCGGCGAAGTCGTACGGAGGTATTAATAATTGTCGCAATCCTGCAGCCAAATGGCCTCACCGTGAATATTGAAATGCCAAAGTGCCTCCGAAGCCCCATGCACCTGAAATCCCAAAAACTTCACCTGATTGAATTACCCTGTTTCACACCCTCTTTGGAACCCCTACGCGATGGTGTCATGTTAGGGTACGAGAGTGAGACTGGGTGCTTATCGCCTAGCAATGGAGGGACGCCTTCGTACAAATTTAGGATTACCGCGATAAGATGAAGACTTTTGCCCATCCCTGGGATCGAACCGAGATGGCCAAACCATTCTCAACTACCGTGATCTTATTCGGATGATCAGTTTTGCGGAAGGAGTAGTTAGCGTAGGAGCGTGGAATAGTTTCTATAGAGAACACCAGGACTCCTCCTTCATGAGAGAAGAGTACGGACTAATTAGATTGAAGCACTCAGGATTTCGAGGGATTAATCTGAGAGTGCATCCGATATGATATACAGCGCATTTTCTTTTAAAGCATCCTATTTATCGATCGGATGGCGGCGCTTGAATGAGGGTCTCTTGAGGAATATTTTGCCTCTCTATTACAAGCCATTTCAACGGTTTCAAAAAGGCGAAATTCGATTCGAATAGTACACAGACAACACAATGATTTGTTGCCCGTTCCAACATCGACAAAGGCTTCGATGTTTGCGCCGAGTATCGTAAAACCTCAAACCGTTGAGTGAAGAGGCAACCAAAAGAGGTGAAGGTCATAATCGAAACGGTGAATGTTCCTTGAGGACAACGCTAAACATATCAAGGGACGACGAGCCCGTGAAAATGCTAGGCATCTAGTCAGGGCACACCATCGTTGTGCGAAATACAGCGGGGGTTGTATCTGGTGGGTGGAAAGGTGGGTCGCATTCGACCCCAGTTTTCTACCAAATTTACCCGAACTGGAACAGACAACATTTGAAAAAGCAAGAGTCAACAAAAAAAATTCCCCCCCTCACCCCACCTCTCTTGATTTCCTTGATCGCTGAGTATTCCCGTATCCAAGATTTTCCCCGAGCGCCTCGTATTCTCCGTCAGAGTGGGGCATTGCTATTTCTAATAATTGATCGTTGCTTACAGCACCTCCCGTTCCCCTGACGTAAAATTTTTGGGGGAATAAAAGCTTGTAAAAGAGCAGAGCAAGCATTCTGTGAAACGAGGTGACGTAGAAGGAGAAAAATGGGCAGGGGGGGTATATTTCACAGGAATTTCTTGGAAAGCGAAGAATATGTGCCCTGTATGTAGTGAATTTGGCCATCATTTCTCATCGTGCTCATCATTTGTACGCTAGCTATTCTCAGCGTTTCCAGAGATCTAGGACGATTTCGGGGTGACAAATATTTTTTATATCCGGATGGCAAACATTTTGAGGCTGTGGAAAATGTCAGTGTCAGAACCATCCTTCCCTCACCTCTCCCCACCCTCACACTTGAGTTATGACACCTTTCACAGCGCACCACGACGCACTCTCATTAGACTGTCTGAACTACAGAATTTACCCAAAATTCATGTGCCTTTCCCATTATTATCGAGCCTTCTAGTGATGAAAATGGGATCATCTCCCCTCCCTCGCTTCCTTATGTAACATCCAGTAACATCCAGCCCAGCCCCCTCCCTCCCTCTACCAGTAATAATGTATATATACACCTGTTCGGGG